ATCTATCTATCTATCTATCTATCTATCTATCTATCTATCTATCTATCTATCTGTCTATCTTTTGTTTGTTTTTTATTAGCCTGTATGTCTCTGTCTGCCTAAAACAACAATCATCATCTCCCATAAATTTATAAAAAAAGTGTTGCTCCAACACTCCAACTAGTTTGCACAAGAACTACCAGCTAACTAGCTTCTGTTTTACTCAGCTTTGTTCACATTTGTGCTACAAGTTGTGTTTTTGATAACGGTTTGCCCTTCATTATGGCTCCCCAAGCATAAGTAACACTCTTCCGGTGTTGTATGTCCTAGATTATGACATTAACACTGCGTTAGCACAGCGATATAAACCACCTGAGAGTTCCAACTTACGGCAGAAATCAAGTTACGTCGCATCGTATTACAGGGAATTCCGATGTAAGTAGGTGACCATCTGTATTGTTCCTTCTGAAGTTGTAACTGCTTCCCTTTTAGATTCCATATTCGGAGTTGGGTGGAAAGACGTTAGTGCTGCAGGTTTTTGACTTTGACCGCTTTTCCAAGCATGATATGATTGGTGAAATAAAGATTCCGATGAACAGCGTTGACTTGGGTCAGCCACTGCAACAATGGAGAGATCTGGAAAGTGGAGAGAAAGAAGAGGTATAAAGGTTGTTGTCTAATTATGTTGTTTATTGTTGTATTATATTATACTAGGAGCACTTGGTAATATTTATTTATTTGTCTGTACAAACCACTGTATGTTTTACTGGCACCAGCATTCTGCATATAATCCCCTTATTGTCCTTGGGTGACAGAAAGGCGCCTATGAAATAAAATGTATTATTATTATTAAATTGGTTAATAAAATGAGCCACAATGCTGCCATCTAGTGGCTTTTACTTTCACATACAGCCGTTTTATCTTACCCATATTACATCAGTGGCTCTCAAACTTGCTATACTCTGTACCACCTCAGAAAACATTGAGCTCTCTGAGGACCAGCATGACGGCCGACATTAGAATTCCCCCCACTCGTTCCAAGTTCCAACTTGCAAGTGATCCCATGATTCCGTGCTGCCTGTGCTTACGTGAGCAACAGCCTTGTATTGCAGCAAAAAAGTAAATAAATAAAAAGACCAGACATCCTATTTCATAATCTCACAAGTAGCTACACATTTTTTTTTCTTCTAAATGTTGTATTCATTGTGCATGGTATGTTTCAGATTTATTCAATTGAAAATGTAAATGTGAAAATAGGAATTTTCCCCGCGTGTTTGAGAACCACTGTACTACATAATTATGCTAATATCGGATCGATAATGTCACCTTGCCGATATTATAAAAATTAAATATAATGAAAAAAAAATATATATAAAAAATGTATTTCAATATACTTATTTACAGGAAACAAAATTTAAAAAAACATTGTAACTATGTTATGATTGTACTGGTTCAGGGCCCACTTGACATCTAATCAGGCTGTATGTGGCCCCTGATCCAAGATGAGTTTGAACCCCCCCCCGTTTCAGACTATAGCCTAATGTACTGGTTATAGTAATGCCATTTTACATTCACAAGCTCTGTATCTGAAACTACCATGATTGATATATCCATCCATCCATCCATTTTCATCCGCTTATCCGTTGCCGGGTCGCGGGGGCAGCAGTCGCCACCCAAATCACACTGCACCGTACCAACTCCCCAAACCTTCCTGCAGGTGGTGAGTCCACTGGAAGGTATTAACCGCCCTAACCGGGATTCGAACCTGCTCAGGAGGTGAACCCTGGGGTTCCACACCAATGACAGAGACATTGCCTCTGGGCCAAAGCGCCACTGATTGATATATATAAAAAAAATAAACACAATAAGTGACACTGACAAGTGTAGACTTGTAGTTCAGGGGTGTCAGACATATGGCCCGTGGGCAACATTTGGCCCGCTAGGGTGTCCAATCTAGCCGGTATGCGGCCCGTGAACCATAATGAGTTTAGTTCATAAACCCTGGTGTAGTTCATAAATATTTTGGAAATAGATTTTACTAATGACGAATTTTTTATGGTATTATTTTATGAATGGTGATTGACTTACTTTATACTAAAATTGATTATTATTATTTAACCTATTTCTATTTTATATATATATATTATATATTATATATTATATATTATATATTATATATTATATATTATATATTATATATTATATATTATATATTATATATTATATATTATATATTATATATTATATATTATATATTATATATTATATATTATATATTATATATAACCTATTAATATAACCTAACCTATTTATGGGAAATGGTTTAAATTCATACCCCCTTTTTTTTTTTTACAGCAAGAGAAACTGGGTGATATCTGCATTTCTCTGAGGTATGTTCCCACTGCTGGCAAACTGACTGTGAACATCATGGAAGCAAAAAATCTCAAGAAAATGGATGTGGGCGGCCTTTCAGGTAGTATACAGTTAGATCAACTGCGTTTAAAAGCAGCTCACTGACCAATAACACATATACATATGTTTTGTAATTGACCTTTTTTTCCCCTCTAGACCCATATGTTAAGATTATTCTACAGCAAAACGGAAAACGCATTAAGAAGAAAAAGACAACTGTCAAGAAAAACACACTCAACCCCTACTTTAATGAGAGCTTCAGCTTTGACGTTCCTTTTGAGCAGATTCAAGTAGGTTATGGATTTTTTTTACAAAAATAATAATAAAGCTGTTTTATAATGTTATTGTATTATATCCTATTATGTGCCAGCTATGCTACGGAATAATGGGGGGGGGGAGGGAAACTACAAAACTAGTCCCGATCTTCTTAAATTTCAATTTAAACTTATAAGGTAAAATATTTGGATTCATGTAATTGGCCCTGCTCTTCAATTACCGTAATTTCCGGACTATTGAGCGCACCTAGATATAAGCCACACCCACTACATTTAAAAAGACAAATATAATTGTACATATATAGGCCGCACTTCTCTATAAGCCGCAAGTAACATGGGATATTTACACAGAAAGATTTTTTTCACTCTTAATTAAATAAATGCTTTTTTCTGAACAGTATAAGCAACTGTATAAAAATCCATAAATTAGCCGCATCATTGTTTAAGCTGCAGGGTTTAAAGCTTGTGTGAAAAAAGTAGCGGCTTTTGGTCTGGAAATTACGGTACAATGTCCATACATAAAATGTTTTTCAAACTTCTATTCTAAAACCTTTAAATGGGACAATAAAATGTTTTTCAAACTTCTATTCTATTCGATATGCAAAATTGCATTCCTAATGGTTCAGGTGCCAGTTTCCTTAAAAAAAAAAAGTTTCACGTGTGAACCTCTATGTGAAGTTTGGTCTAATCTTAACTGTCACTGCTTAAAAATAAGTTGAGAGTTGAAGTGGTGAAATGCACACGTCCTTTCTTTCCAGAAAGTTCAGGTGGTGATCACGGTGTTTGACTATGACAAACTTGGAAGCAACGACCCCATTGGAAAGACGTTCATGGGTTACGGAGCCACAGGTGTTGGTCTGCGCCACTGGTCCGACATGTTGGCCAATCCCAGACGCCCAGTAGCCCAGTGGCACACTCTGCTGCCGGAGGAGGAAGTTGATGCGGCGGTGAAAGCAAAACCTCGTTAGGCTCTCACTCTGTTTTCTCGACCCCCATGTATTTTCATGATTTCCCCTGATTTAACATACATTGTAGTAGTAGTGTTGCTGTGACGTACTGAATTGATTTGTTTTGTCTGTTCATATAATTGATTGGTACATATATAAAACCTTGATCACCCACTATGTATGATAAGTTCTTTAGTCATCCCAAAGTAGCGGTAGCACAGCAGCAAATACATCACAAATTATAAGAAAGAAAAAGTATAGCATAGTTCTATAGCAGTACAAATATTGGATACCGTAACCGTTGCTGCCTGGCCTTTTTGGCAGTTTGTCATTAGCAAATCAGTGGCTAATGCTAGTAGCTAGTACCATCCTAAACTTGTCAAATCAATGTTGCGTGATACATCCATGAACATTACAAGGCATTATGTAGAAATGACATTAGAATAATTGTTTGTCCTGAAGAAAATGGGAATTTGGTTTCCAGCCAATAGCCTATGTCCACTAATGTCCTGTTAATAATTAATATGCATCTTGTGTGTTGTCTTTTTCTTGTCTCTTGTTTAAACTTTGGGAATTCTGTGTATAGAAATGCTGTTGAGATGACTGTGATGTGTGTAGCTTAAAACAACAAAGAAAACCAAAAATATCCGAATTAAATTACATCAAAATACAAACGCAGAAGATATTTGAATTTTTTTTGCTTTGACATAACAAAACACATAAAAAAAGCTGGGCCAATAAAAGCAGAAGATCTCTTGTTAAATTGTTTTTATCGATGGCAACCCACAAAAAGTCTGGATAATCTTGTTAACATTGAGCTCACTCTGTAATTATGTGCAAGTAAAAAGGGAAAGATTCTCTTCCTCCACTCCTATTGGATGATCCCGCTTAACATGTTGATCCATAGACTTGGTTGAAACCGTTCAATAATTCTGTAAACTTGTTGGTACCGTCATTTCCAGGCTATGAGCAGCTATTTTTTCACAATTTAGGAATTTAATTTCTAACACAATTCATACCGCTAGCGATGACTTTTCTGGTAGGCTACTGTGTGTTATACTAGTAACGTATGTCTGTCTGTGAATGGCTGTGTGCGAATATGTGCGTGGGGCAGAGAGAGAAAATAGGGAAAGTTGAGAGCAGTTTGAGCCCTGTCATGATGAAGCGTGAGTTGGTTATAAAGGAGCTGTTAAAATGTTTATGTTCTGTTGTGCTCGGTGTGGCTGATAGTAAAGACCCCCAACTTCCCTGTTTCTGTTTACCTTTTGTTTACGGACAAGCACAAAGTGGAACAGATCACTGTAACCAGCCCTGTTACAGGCACTGTTCGGAAAAAAAAGCATTTATTTAATTAAAAGTGAATAATAAAAAAAAAAAACTTTCTCTGTAACATCTTTTTGTGTGAATATCCCATTTTACAACGTAGACACTTGCGGCTTATAGAGAAGTGCAGCCACTAATTTTTTTTCTCTTTACATTTAGTGGGTGCGGCTTATATTCCGGTGCATTCAATAGTCCGGAAATTACGGTAAATGTACAAGGCTTCTGATTAGTAACTGACAAGATCAAAGATTATGTAAAAAAAAATATGAAATAACCCGTAAATGTCCAATTTCCCCTCCTCAGGTGTCAGTGTCACCAGTAGATTCCGTCTCCATGGACACATTGGAGAAGAATTCATAGATGACTTTCTGTCTGGCCTTTACAGCCTCTGGGCAGACCTCTAGTTCCTTTGAGTGCTGCTTGCTTGGACCCACTAACTCCACTTCCCCAGCAGCATTTGGAGGAGGCACAGAGAACTTCTGTGAAATGTTATGGAGAACACTGCATGCTTTGATTATGTCCGTGTTTCTGTCCAAAGTGGTTTCTTGTCTATAGCCAAGGTGTAGCAGACACCTAAAACGCCTCTTCAAGGTGCTGAGCGTCTTCTGCATGATGTCATCTAGCATTTTGTGGGCCTTGTTGTATTGGATCTCACCCTCAGTCACTGGCACTGTCACGGGAGTCAAAACATACTTGCTTAGTTGATAACCTTTTGTACCTTTAAAAAAAAAAAGACAAAGAAACTAGGTCAGTAACAGGTACATGTTAGGCCTGACACTGTTCTTTAATGCAACAAATTTAAAGATATTCACTTTATGTTTTATGTCTAGTTTTCCGCTTTGAGTATAAAGCGCATGGCAGGTCCCTGATTTTTTGTGCAAACAAACAAAAGACGTCATCTTCTGTCATTGATGTGTAAAATTAAAAAATTAAAATTATTTAAAAAAAATACATAAAACACATCATGTTTAGGATTTCTTGAAAGATTACTGGGGATGTCCGATATTAACTTTTTGCCCATATCCTGCATGCATATTGTCCAAACACCTAATTTCCGATATCAACCGATACTGATATAGCGGGGCAGTGGTGGAAGTGTTGCCCGCTCACTAAGGTGATGAGTATAGAATAGTCTCGCAATAATTTTCTGCCCCCTAGGGTACAGAACTGGAATACTATTGAGCTCCTGGTAATATTTATTTATTTATTTATCTGTATAAACCACTGTGAGAGTTGCTGTCACCCACATTCTGCATACAAACCCCTGATTATCAATATAGATAAATAAAATATGCGTAATAAAATAAGTTACAATGCTGCTTATATTATCAATATAGATTAATAAAATAAGCGTAATAAAATAAGCTACAATGCTGCTTACTGTTCGTTAATTAGGTTATGATTGTACTGGTCCGGCCCACTTGGCATCTAAATACGTTGTGTTCATACCTCATATTTTTACTGTACATTTGCGATTTGGATCAAATGTCATTACAAAGTGCAGACAAACGCTGGAAACCCTGATATTTATTTTATATAAAGCCTATAATTAAATTAACCGTAACAGCGTAGGCTCATATATGACGCAAGGCATATTTTAATATAAAATAATTTTAATATTTGTCATTTTTGAATACTTAGTCCCTACCTAGTCTCCCTATCAATTCAGAGGTCTTACAGAGATATTAGTTACTATATGGGAACTAATAAATGTATTCTTTAATTTTTTTAATGCACTATTGTACATTAAGCTAAGGTTTAACGTCATTAAAGGGAGTACATCCTGTTTCTTGTTGTGAACTTTGTTGCACTTAAACTGTGACACTGAGTATTGTGGTTGAGAGTAAACGCGAATTTTCCTTCATAACAATGAATTATTGAGACTTCCCCTGACTGAGAAAAAAGTTGGGTTTACACTACTTTCGCGTGTAAAATTAATATCCGTATTCATATACACACAACCTGTAATGTAGTGGTTTTGAGAACCTGATAATATGTATTTTCTTATCTGTACAAACCCTAGTGACTGGAGGCATGCTTATCGTTCAAGCATTACAGCAGCGTCACACTTTTGTCCAGCGGGCTATATTCCACCCTCAACGACTGGGTTGAGGGAAGCCTCTCGTGGAACAAGGAAGCCTATCGTGCCCGCGAACCTTACTGCCCCAGTATTTCAGAAGTACTACTGTAATGGCACCAACATCTCTGTTTTTCCTACCTATGACCCGATACGGTTCCTTTACCCCCTCCTCGACCTCCTTCTCTTTTGAGGGTAACTCCCACGTTTCCGGTTTGAACGTGCTCCCGTTACTCAGGCGGAACTTCTCCACACTCAGGAGGTTTCCCTCTGAGTCGCACGTGACCTGTGACACCACAGACGTGTAGTCCGTGCCGTTCGCGTCCGACACGGATGACTTCTCTTGAGGTGACTGGACGATTTTAAAGTGGACTGCTGCCAGGATTCCCAACGCGTTGGGAATTCGGCTAATTTTTTTTATTTTTGACGCAACGCAGGCTTTTGCTTCCGGGGTCTCTGGGAACGACATGAACTGGTCGGACATCCCGACGATGACGCCGGACAGTTTGTCAACAATAAGATAGGCACGCTCCGACTGGTTGCTGAGCCCGGCCATGTCCAGCACGACACCAGAAAACACTCCGTGCGCATAATAATTGAGCGCGACCATGACCTGCGCGTCCACACTCAGTTCCTCTCTGCCCGTTGTAGCCGTCTTTATACGTAGCCTTATCGAATCAGCGATGAATGCGACGCACGGTTTGGTGAGGTGAAACAGCTCGAACAAAGCTTCGTCGTTAAAGTCGTCGAAGCAAGTTGATGATCCACAGTCCGGTACGCCATTTCCGAGCAGCTGCTCCTGCACCAGGAGCCACACAGGCACAGCGAGAGACATTTGTGTGAGTCTGTTTGTCTCTCAGAGGTACTGGAGAAAATCTAGGGTTTACCCTGAAAGTTCTGTGCTCGGTAAATACAGCGGCATGTAGAAAAATCAACGGAGTGCGAGCACGAAGGAAGTTCACTGCAGTAACTTGTTATCGACTCATTTCTGCACTATCGCCACCCAGCGGGCAGGCGAAGACAACGTCAACATTCAGAAAATAAAAAAATAAATAAATTAACCCAGCTTTAGGTCTTTCCTTACAAAGCCACGAAAGCTGTGGTCTTGCTATGAGTCTTGCATTTTTTTTTCATCAATGTGAAAAATGACTGAAACACAATTTAAGTTATAAGACAGGAACAAACCAAGTTTGATACATACACAAAAATCTATTGACAGGAACAAACCAAGTTTGATACATAGAAACACTAAGGTATAATAAAAAATAACATGAAATTGTAATAACTAGTACACACTTCAAAAACAAAAATGTGTGTATATACTTTCTATATTAATTCTTTAAAAAGAAAATTGAGGTAGTTTTTTCTTACCTATGACCCTTAACAGTCAAGTCAATGTTTCTGAAATAATAGTATTGTATTATAATAATTACATAAGTATTTTATTTTAGGTTTATGACATCACGTATAATCATTATACAATATATTTTCATTTAATCAAACATAAGACTTTCAAGATACCTCAGTAGTTCATAACAAAATGTGTACACAGTAAACAGATTAATGTTGTTTAGGTAACAAGTAAAACATTTTGTTAACTTCAGAAATAGAAACGTCTTTTAGTTTTGGTACGTTTCCCGTCTGTTCACCTCCTGTGTTCCTGTTTCTGGCATATAGATCTAGGACAGAAAGGAGACACACCAAGGTTTGTAAATGATCATTTGGTAAATATTTAAAATGACAAACTTACATCACATAAAAAAAATACTTTGTAAACCTCTTGGGTACACAAACTCTACTACTTTACATTTCGGGTCATTCACAACCACATTATTTGACTGACTATCTTGTTTGTACTGATTATAATTAAAAAGTAAGACATCCTGAGGGAGTTACAGCCCATATTAAAAAACTTTAAAAAAAATCTATTTTTAATCTCTGTTTTTCAAGAACCAGCAAATGGACTAATATCTGTAGATCAAAAGTGTAACATAATTTGTATGTAAATGCCTAGTTAAAGAGAGAGACAAATTCAGTCAAGCATGTACATTCAAATGTGTTCATTCTTGCTATGAACTGTTAGCTCACGTGTCACATCTTAATAAAAGCAAAAAAAATAAATGCGGAGCCCTGTCCAGCATTCTGATAAGAATATGACTACACATACTTGAAATCACTATGTCCAAATGAAGTTTTAAATACCAGGTATGATATTTACATATTCTCAGCATAGATAAGTGGTTCCGAAAGAGGGAGATGGGTCTCTTTTTGGGGTGCAGAATTATTGCAGGAGCAGGGGATACAGCACGACATTTTTTTTTCTTTTTTCGATCAGAATATACCCATTTTAAGGAATAGTTATTATTAAAAGTTATTTGGCCTTTCAAAGGAAAAGCTGTGAACATGTCTGTGAGGGGCTTGAAAATAGATTTCTACAGAAAAAGTGCTCACAGTGGAGTGTGTAAGGGGTGGGCCAATTACTAGTAAACGTTTAGTTTTACCTCTGCACTACCATTACTCTAAAACAGGGCCCTCATTACCTATAATGAACAAAATATGTAACAATACTGACCTGTGATGCTATCCATTGAGTCAAGTGGAGCAGTGTTGTTCATGTTTATTCCAAACAGCAACAATACAGCGATCACAATAGCAACCACCAGGTAGATTGGCAGTGCAAGAGCCCAGTATCTGCATAGACAGCATAAAAGCCTTACAATTCGGGGAAAATTCTGCATTTTTGGTGGCAAAGATTCTGTTAACAAGCAGTGTTTGTACCTGAGTAACAACATTTATATTAACTCACTTTTGAGGCCAGTAAGTGAACCCTATGGAATGAAGCCACTCCTCAGGAGTGAAAGCCCAAATGCAATACAACACTAGGAAGAGAAATAATATTCGTTAAATCGTGTTGTTGTACTGTTGATTTTAGATTCTCAGAAATATATACAAAATATTTTTTTAAAGTTTTAAAACAACGTTTTAAGCTATTTTCTACCTAGCTACGTCGTTTAATTCTGTGCTTTAACGAACTTCTTTTACTCACTGAAACTGAATTGTGAGCCAAGGAAGAGGACGAAGCCGTAAATGGCTCTCTCGGGTAGAGGGGACGGAGAGCTTTCCACCATGATCGTGCAACACAAACCGGAGGAAATTATTTTATTTAAATCTTATTTTATTTTAAATTATGAAGCTAGGATACCAGTCTACAAAAAATAAATACACGAAATAGCTGTGATAAAATGTAATGTTGTAAATATCATCTAAAAGTTGCCGATGGACAAATTTCTCAAATATGAATTTCTTCTTCCGCCAAGCGTGTCCGGCACTTCATTTGGACGTCAAACAGCAACTGTGAAATTGGTTCCGAACTCGGAGTAAAATAACAATAACAAGTATTTCATTTAAAGAAATCTAGGCCAATCCATAAACACCATAAACATGTTAATGTGTGGTAGAATTCGTACAAATTGGGATTAAAGTCTTTTGTGTTTTGGACGAATAGTTTAGACTAGTTTCGCGGGGACACAATTATTGTAGGACCCGGAAGTAAACGATCCAACGTGGTTTTGAGTAGCTGAAGTTTGTGAACGGGCAGTTGTAGCTCTTTAATTAGGCTGTTGGACCATATTATCCTATTTGCCAACTGCTAAACGATATATACAGCCCTATTTATGCAAGTCGTATTAATCAATGATTCCTTGCTAACGATTTTTTGTGAAATAGTTCCGCGTGTCAAACGAACATTTTGAGAGCTCGTTATAGCTGAGAGTTACCGCAATGTCAAATATAAATACAAATAAAAAACAGCATACAGCCAATGGAAAACATTCGTCGAAAAAGAATAATGCAAAGAAGAAAAGGAAATTTTGGTTTGAAGAAAAACCTAAAAGTAAAAGGCTCGAATCTGGCAACCACAGAGAAGTGGAACTTCCGAAAGATGCTGAACATATTTCTGCCAACTGGAAAGCATTACAGGAGGTAAGAGTTGGCTCTTTGTTTTGTTCCATTTCGTTGTTGTTGTTGTTGGGTTTTTTTTTTGTTGTTGTTGTTGCCGTGTTGATTTTGTCACATTAAAAATCACAGTTAATTACTACTCTTGTTGTCAGATTTTAAAAAACAGTGAACCGAGCAAGCGACCACTCAAGGGGTCTTCAAATCAGAGGCATGTGCTGCACACTAAGAAGACCACAGAAAGTTCATCTGCCATTGTTTGCAAAAACAACATTGGACAGAAGCCTAGAAAATGTGAGGAGAAGGAGAAACATGAAAATGTGTCACACAGCGTTGTCCCTGAAGATGCACAGGACGGGACCGGAACTGTCAAACATGCAAGACCACCTAATGCATCCAAACGGAAAAGGAAAAATGGACAGCCAACCAATGAAAGTATTATCAAGAAGAAGAAGATGATGGTTGTGGAGAAGAAACCTACAAGGTAATAACAGCATCAAGCCTAAACCATTTAATTTACAAAACAAAAAAGAAAAAAAGATTTTTAACTGCCTCTAATGTTCTTTTTGATTAAAGTGATGACTTGTGGTTTGATGATGTTGACCCGGATGACATTGAGGCTACAATTGGAGCTGAAGCAGCAGACATTATCAGGAAAAGGGAACACATTCACATCCAAAGCACAGAGAGTGCCCTTGTAAAGGAGAAAGCTTTTGATGGGTAAGTGATTGACGGACTACAAGAGTATAAAAAGTGGATTTCTGCATTTACAAGTATGGTATTTTTCGAACTATAAGGCGCACTTAAAATCTTTTGATTTCCTCAAAAATCGACAGTGCGCCTTACAACTCGGTGCGCCTTATGTATTATTTTTGGTTGCGCTTACTGACCTCGAACTGGTTTTATAAAGCCAAACCACACAGTGCATCACACATGATGGCACACAACTGGGAGCCAACAATGACGTTTAACTGTGTTATCACAATTAGAAGATGGTCAACAACAATTGTTACAGTATGGTTGTATAACCCAAATCCGTGCAACGTCGCGTCGTGCCTCCAAACACCTGGAGACTGCGTTGTGTTTCTGTATTGTTGGTGTATGGTGCAATGCAGGACAACTCGTACGCATGGCTGTTTTTTTGTTTCGTGGTCCAGACCTCTTTTTATTTCTCTTTTTTTATCGATGCAGGCGAAATACACACACTATCTGCAAAACAACTTCCGCACGGAACAGCGTCTAAACAATAATACGGTCACCATCCAGAACAAAAATGGTGACATCAGGCGCTTGTCACTATCTGAAGGGGCGAACAACAACAACAACATTGCCCTCCTGTGTCCAACAAATCTCCGTCCCTATTGATCTGCGACTCCATGCGCGTCCATCTCATTGATTTAGTCAAAACCCAAGTGAAGCAAACTAATTCAGGGCTTGCCATCATTCCGGGTGGATTAACCAAAGAATTCCAACCGCTAAATATTGGCGTTAACAGGGCGTTCAAAGGTAAATTGCGAGCTGCGTCGAAAGGGCGTTCAAAGGTAAATTGCGAGCTGCATTGAAACATGCATTGGATGACAGAAGGCGAACACACATTCACCAAGACAGGGAGGCAACGCCAGGCGAGTTACGCCACTATCTGCTAATGCATTGTGGATGCCTGGGCTAAGGTATCAGTCTCAAATGTAGTCCGAGCTTTCACGAAGGCCGGAATCATTACGGAACAGCTAAGTAACAGCAACAAGACAGACTCGGATAATGATGAGAGGGATCCGGACATGCTTGGTTGTTCCGCTTAATTGTTTTGCTGTTTTGTTTCGCTTAATGCGCCTTATAATCCGGGGCGCCGTATGTATGAAAATAGACTCGTTCATTGATATTGCGCCTTATAACCCGCTGCGCCTTATGGCCTGATAAATACGGTAATTCTATTATTACCAAGAAAACCTTTGTTACGGTAACATTGATATGATATTGAGTAAAGGCTACATATGTTATGTCATTCTTTTAGTTAAACATGAAGTATGATACAAACTATTTAGGCACTTATTAAGAATACTGAAAGTAAGACTAATTTTAGTTTTCAATTCACGAAATATGGTGTGAACAATGAGGAAAATAGTTCAAATCAAATCAATGTTTTCAAGTAAAATCAAATCCCTTAGCTGCAGTACCATATTTTCTGAAGAACTGGAACCTAAAATCCGAATCAGAACAGGCTTGGTGTCACTTGTTTAAACTTTAATTGTATGCAGGAAAACTTATTTGAACCTCTGCTGAATCTGTAGGTAGGAGAAATGATTTTGATGGTGTTTTCATTTTAATACAGAGAGATAGAGCTGCAGTACCATATTTTCTGAAGAACTAGAACCTAAAATCCGAATCAGAACAGACTTGGTGTCACTTTTTTAAACTACAATTATATGCAGGAAAACTTATTTGAACCACTGCTGAATCTGTAGGTAGGAGAAATGATTTTGATGTTTTTTTCATTTTAATACAGAGAGATAGCAACAAAAGCGTACCAACAAAAATCCAGAAAAAAACAGTTTACTAGTGGACATCTATATGAATTAAACAAAAGTGTACAAACCATGAGACAAACTACAAACATTTTTTATTCACATAATACTTTAATTTGTATTGTGTTTTTACCGTATTTTCCGGACTATAACTCGCTCCAGCCAGGAAATTCCGAACGAAGAAGAAAAAAAAAACATACAAGTTGCTCCGGAGTACGTCACTCCAGCCAACTAGAGTGCCCTCTAGCGGCTGTCAATGTGAAAATAACGAACATGTCAATTTTGAGTGGTGCAGGAGTAGAAGGTACTGGTACACAAGCCCAGACTGCCCTCTAGCGGCTGTCAGTATGAAAACAACAAATGTGAAATTGTATCGAGATGAACTGTGATCTGTGCAAAACATAGGGAAGAATACCATGAATATTTGCATGGTAATTGTTAAAAAAATAGATACAGTGCTGTAGAATAATGATACGGTATCGTGAATCGAAATATTGCAATATTTCAGTGTATCAGTATTCAGTTTTTTTTTTTACACCCCTGCTAGGTAGGAATGAGAAATAAGATCAATTGCGTAGAACATTGGTCTTTGATTATTTTAACTTCTTGCGAAACGGGATTTGTCTAATACAGATGTTCTCTAGTTGGTGTGAGAGAAGGCCAAGTACTGTAGAAAAATACACAGCGTAGAGGAATGGGAACCTCCAAACTGATTAACATCTCCTACCATGGCGAAACCTTTGTCAAGCTGGTCGATAGCAAAAATGCTATCCTTAGTTTTCCCTGCTGCAACTTTAGGACACAGGCTATTACAAGGTCGTAAAAAAATGCCAAATGGCGGGAGGGTGGGCGGAGATGCAACGGTCCGGCATCTGAAGTGATTCTAACCTTTCCCTGTTTATGTTCCTACATGTAATTGACTGATGGCAGTCTCACAAGAGCCGTGGCTATCGACTGTGAAATGGTGGGAGTCGGTCCGGACGGGGAAGACAGCATTTTGGCACGCGTGTCTCTCGTGAACCGTTTCGGAAAATGCATTTACGATAAATTCGTCAAACCCACGGAGAAGGTGACAGACTACAGGACGGCCGTCAGCGGTATCCGACCCAAGGACATAAGAAACGGTGGGTTTTGTAATATGACGGCAGTTTGAACTGTAGGCACCTTCAAGATACAAAACGATGCGTTTTGGTTTGATCTCTGCAGGTGAAGATGTGATGATTGTCCGGAAGGAGGTCGCAGAGATTGTGCAGGGCAGAATAATTGTTGGACATGCCATTCACAATGATTTAAAGGTACATTTGGTGTATTTTTTTTTTCTGGCGAATTCAATGTTAGTAAGGAAAGCAAAAATGAAAATGCTTATGTAAAAACACATCGGAAGTGACAGTGGTTTTAAGACACAAATACTGTGGTTATATGTTAAAAAAAGTTATCTTCTTCTTTTTCTTTCGGCTTTGTCCCCTTTTTTTTTTTTTCAGGGGTTGCCACAGCAAATCATTGATTTCCATCTCTCCCTGTTCTCTGCATCTTCTACTCTGATTCCAACTATCTGCATGTCCTCCCTCACTACATCCATATATCTCCTCTCTTTCTCCTACCTGGTAGCTCCATCTGTAACATTCTTCTACAAATTTATCCACTGTCCCTCCTCTGCACATGTCCAACCCATCTCAATCTGGCTTCTCTAGCTTTTCCTCCAAACCTTCCTGTCTGTGTTGTCCCTCTAATGACCTCATTCCTGATCCTGTCCATTCTTGTCACTCCTAGAGAGAATCTTAGCATCTTTAACTCTGTCACCTCCAGCTCCTCCTCCTGTCTTCTGTCTGTTGCTAGTGTCTCCAAACCATACATCATGGCTGGTCTCACCACCATCCTGTAAACCTTTCCCTTCACCTTAGCTGACACTCTTCTGTCTGTAAAAAAAAAAAAATCTTTATAAAGAATATCAGGCATAGGGGGTTTTTGATGTACACTGTCCAGAGGTGGAAAAAGTACTGAAAAAATTTTTTTACGTAAAAGTAGCACTTTTGAACATATTCAGCTGAAATTCTACTCAAGTAAAAGTACCCATCTAAAAAACTGCTCCAGTAAAAGTATCTTAGTCACTTTAAATGACTTGCAAAAAAAAAGGACACGTCATACATCCAATCTGCAACTAGTTTAATTAATAATTAACAATTCAAATACAAGTGACATAAGTTGAGATTTCATTTTCTTTGTATTGTGCAGCCATGTTCAAAACCAGATATTAAAACCATTTGAAATTCTCTGTTTTTTTTTTTTCGATTTTACTCTTGGATCATCCAAACAAGAAAATCCGGGACACTCAGAAGTACAAGCCTTTCAGGAGGACAGTGAAGGTGAATATGTGGCACATTACATTACACTAAAGGAATGAATGGGACTTCGCTTCCGTGGATTCTCTTGTGTGCTTCACTTAAAAAAATATTTGTTGGTCTAACACAAATCGTCTTTCTGTGAATGCATAAAAGGTGACATCAAAGCATTGATCGTTCCGTAGTGTAGCGGTTAGCACGCCTGCCTCAGAAGACACAGAGTCCTGGGTGTAATTCCCAGAGAAACCACATGTGGTGTCTTAACAGCATATCTGCTGTTAGCACAAGAATGTCCCAAATTTGGGATTAATATATATAATCAAATATATTTATCTTTAATTTAAAAACACATTGTTGCTATGACAAACCACCAGGTGAGGGAGGCAGTTTATTAGTCAACTTTTTGGTGAAAGATAATAGCGTTCATTCAAAGCATTCATCAACATGTTGACAAAAACATGGATAATGATGATGACGATGAATGATGTTGCGCATCTGTCCATTTTTCTAAAAAAAAAAAAAAAAAGTTTTAATAGAGAGATGCACTATTTTTCCTTTCACTTTACCTTTCATCTTTTCATTAACGGCTAATGAAGAAGCCCGATGGCTGGGTATCTCTTTAGCCAACCGCCTCCCAGATTGTCTGGTTGTCTGCAGTCGTCTCTTGATAAACTGATGCTGTTAAAATCATCTACATCCGGTCGTATTTCCTCAAATGTTCTATCCAAGACGTAACATACGAGCGATTACATATTACGTATCGCACAATATTTAGGAAAACAGGAAACCTGTTGGACAGTAAACGATGAATTTAACATAAAGTTACTCACAGTAAACAGCAACGAAGAACACACGGAAAGCGTCCGAGCGAGGGAGCAAGACTTTCTTAAGAAATCTATACGAAAAGGGGTGTGCGTGGCGCGATGTAAGGGAGGTCAAGATTGTAGGCCGAGGACGTCGTAAACCGACAATCCCCTCTATATAATTTCAGAGCGGACAGTCCTTCGTAACACAGAAGACGGTTTTGTTTGTGTCCTTGAAGCACAAAAACGTGTTTGCAGTTTTGACAACGGCGAAGATGTGGTCCAAAGCCAATAGAAATGAGTTCAAAGTTCCTAAGCCAGCAGCAAAGGAAAGTGGTCACCCTCGGAGACCGAAGTACCGAAGGTAATCACATGGGCTGACCTGTGCATGATGCCTGGACTTTGTAAGATAGAGAAATGGGGAAGACACCTCAAAGACTTGGACTTCTCTTGACCCATGTAGTCATGTAGTGGAATCAAGGGCTGACCCAAGGTACTAAGGTTCCCTCAGAAGAAGATGAACCCAACCTCCTTACAAACAGACATAGTATGTTGGTCCTCCCTCACCAAAAACTGTTATTATGGTCAAACTGAAACTGCCCATCGTTTGGGAGGAAGGAATGGGAGGCTGCCTTCAAAAGGGAGAGCAACAAGTGTACAGACATTGGAGGTGGAGGGCATTCATATTTCCAATAGAAAAGGGCTGCAAAAGTTTCACAGCCAAGCATCCGCGCGACTAACTGAAAGAGACCTATTATATAAGTCATATTATTGCTGAAGAGGCAGAGCAAGGGAGCGTTTGGCGCTAGCAGGTGGCCCTCCTCAGTAAACAGTGGGAGAAACAGGGATCCAAGTGCCAGCTGCAGGGGGGCGCTAAGAAGACATCCCCACCGCTGCGTCACAACCCAGAGATGTACAAGAGTTAAAGGAGCAAAACATCAGAGAAGGGCGGCTCCCTGCTGATGACCCCACAGCTGGCAGAAGAGCATCATCAGAGATGCCAAGCAGGTGGTTCCACCTACCGAATACATACAGAATATTACCACTGTATATTCCGAGGTTGGAATATACACAGTAGCTCCAGCCTTTGGACTAAGCTGAAACCAAGCAGATCGTTTGTGTCTGTTGGTCTCAGAAAGCCGCAGCTAGCGAGCGGGGACCAAAAACAAGTACGAAAATAAAACGATTGACTGATCTACTGAGGTATTGACACCTAGTCATTCTGTTACGTGCAAAAACAGCCAAGTATATATGTAGTATATGTATAAGCTATTTTTTGAAACCAAACATGTTGGAAACACAGGAGGTCCTCAATTTACGATGTCTTCGACCTATGACGTTTTCACGGTTGTGGCCATCTCCTATAGATTTTTTTTTTTTTTTTTTTTTTTTTTGATCGTTCCGACGTGCGGCATTAAAACTCAAGCGGAGTGACTGAATACATGGTCATGAGGTGCCATGTGCGGAAGACGGCTTTGTCACCCTTTACAGACCTTCCCGCACTGTTATCAACAGTCGAACAACAACAACAACAACAACAACAACAGATGCCCTCCTGTGTCCAACTTAGGTCATTACCCTACATTAACTTAATGCTCACCATATACGTATATATATCACATGACATGTGGGTATCTTAGATTTCCCAACCCAAATCTCATTTACAGGAAACTTCCTCCGTTAGATAGGACTGTAAAAAAAATGCTGTTAGTTCATACCCCAGTTTCCCAACACACAAAGAATTCAAATAAAGATCAAATAAAGATCTGATCAAATAAAGAATCAAAATACGAGATCTCAAAGTTTTAAAAGTTTTACTTGCAGCAAGGAGTGCAGAACAATGGTTACATTCAGAACTGCACTGAGGAACTCCTCAGTGCTCAAAGCTTAAATACAGTTTTTTTTTACACACACAAACTTCAATGGTCAGTAGCTTAACCCTTTACAGCCATGTGGTGTTCACGCACCACTTCTGAGCGCTGATTGGCAAAGGCTGCTCCAAACAAAGATTCTCCACCAATAGAAAACGTGTACATGTGCTGAGCTATTCTGCTCAGTAACTCAGGTTAGATCATAGAAATACACTTTGGATTCTTTTCCTTTTTGATGTTCTGTTTTCCTCATTATTTGGGCAGAGGAACTGGTTCAGGCCGGTTCTGTGACTATCTGTCTCTATCTCCAAGCGTAACAGTCAGTGCCATCAGTAACATACACCATCCTGTTATGTAAACCATCAGCATGCACACCTTTCTTCAGTACTTCTCCTTTTAGTACAGCATTGAAAAACAAACAGTATAAATTGATATGGAAACTTAATACAGTGAATATATTGTAAAGATTGAATACATGTATTTAGAACATCAACTTAACAGTACTGTTTTTACCCTGTATGTATGTGTTGTAAAAAATGTATTTTTGTTTATTTATATACAGTTTTGCCCCTTTTTAGGCTAAAAAAAAAAAAAGTTTTTTACTCTAAAATATCGCGATGTAGCAAAATCGCGAGATCGGATTAGAAAAAAAATCTGCGATCTACTGAGGGAGCGAAAGAAGAACAATTTTGATTTTGTGCGTTGGTGTGCTGTGCATCGTGATAATAAATCACTGTCACTTCATGAATAGAAAAAGTAACAGTAATAACAGTGGGCAGCTTTAAGCACCCTGGGGAGCAGTGTGCCATGTTCAGAGCACCTCAGTGGTACCTTGGCAGCTGGTGGACTCGAACCTGAAGCCTTCTGGACCCAAGTCCGCTTCCACTACGCCACCACTGCCCATGCAAAGCAAAACATCAAAACAAAACATTTGAAAACATGGACCAATTGTTATTTATAGTGTGTGTGTGTGTATATATATATATATATATGTATATGTATATATATATATATATATGTATATGTATATATATATATATATATGTATATGTATATATATATATATATATGTATATGTATATATATATATATATGTATATGTATATATATATATATATGTATATGTATATATATATATATATGTATATGTATATATATATATATATATAATGTACCAAATAATTGTGTTCTTTCTTCTCTTAGAGTGTTCGACCTTCACTCAAGGTTCTGTGCAAGGAAATACTTAACGTGAAAGTCCAGCAGGGTGAACATTCATCCGTGAGTTATCAACACCCAGACATGAGAGAAATAACGTCCACCTCACATCATTTTCTTTAAATAAGCCTCACTGTCTTTCCTTTCCCGATTTCCTCGTTCACCCAGAAACATGCATGCATGCATTTGACACAACTCGTTCACCCAGAAACATGCATGCATGTGACACAGAGTTCTGCTTCTTCCTCTGCTGTTGTCCAGGTCCAAGATGCCCAGGCCACCATGAGGCTGTACACGATGGTAAAAAAGAAGTGGGAAGCAGAGATCAAAGCCAGCCACAATAAAAAAGACTCTGACCAGAAAATTATAAAACGGAAGCCCAAGTTGCCAAGGAACACTGGCAGGAATCCATTTGGAAAATGAAGCATCAAATATTTCTGTGGTATGTTTTTGCCTGAGATTCGTGGGCAGGGACGGGGGGGGGGAAAAAATAGAAAAATTCTATTTACGTCATGGCAAGGTCTAGAAATGTGATTCCCATCCCTGCCGATCTTGTCACGACTAGAGTGTTACTATGCATAAGAGACCTTTCATAACTTGTAAGCTTTTCTCGTTCAACAACATCACATTCAGATCCCCTTTGTTTTGAATAAACGTCATGAATACACCACGCTTTATTTCTCTATCTCTGTATTGCATTTACCCGTCAGCAGTAGTTCTCACCAGTAAAATGATTTTGTTATTCTGTCCTTTCTAGACCTGAAAAAAAAAAAGTTTTTCATTGACTTTGATTTAATGAAGTAAAGATGTTTTGTTTAACTTTAGAGATTACAAATATATACGAACAATACATACGTAGCTTTGTATGTTACTTAAGTACAAGAACGAATTACATGTACCGGATTTTCCAGACTATAAGTTGCTCCGGAGTATAAGTTACAGCAGCCAAGATTTACATAATACTAAAAAAAACAAGTCGCTCCGGAGAATAATATATTTACACACACAGTGGTTTTTAACCGACAACCTCAATTTCCGGGTTGAAAGAAGTTATGCTACCAAACAATTGATTCGATAAATTCGATAATTGTTGAATGTCATTTCCTTATCATCCAAACGTGTTTCGATTTTATTGGGTAAACTATCACGATATCAACCTTATTTAATGCATATTTTTATAATTATATACACATTTTGTAATATTTGTATATATTTGAAATAACATGCCATGGTCTTTATAGTATATAGATTCCCCCAGAATACAAACGTATTGCTATTCTTCAAGTATGTTAGACAGTATACCAGGAAGAAGGCGTTTTCAGAAAACTATTTTAGGCCAATGTCATTTTTAAAAAAAAAAAAAAATACAACAGCAGACTGTCTTTTCTCCCCCTATTTTTCTACGTATTTTTTTTCTCTTCCCCCCCTTCTCACCCCCTACCTGTGTGCTGCCACACGACTGCTGATGTCATCCTATGCAGCCACAGTGGAGGCTGCTTGGAACCTGTAGACACAAAATGGTGTTTGTACTTGTACCATCTGTTTGAATGACCGCATGTAAAATGGGAAGAGAGCCAGGATGGATAACAAGGCGATGCCAAAATATTCATTACTGCTTATGCTTATTTTTTTTATTTTTTAAAAATGATTCCTATCACGTGATTTCAACAGCATGTGTATTTATGATGATGAATTTGCCTGTGTTTTCATCCAGGTCTACCCCTCCGTACAGCCATCCGCCCCCCCCCCCTTCCTCCTCCCTCTTGTTTTCTAATCCGCCCCCATGTACCGTCTAAGGAAAAAAAAAACGGTGCAGAAGGTGATGCCTCTTGCGCGGAATACAGAGAGAAAAGGAGGGGAGAGAGAGACAGAGACACAGAGAGAGAGAGAGAGAGAGAGAGAGAGAGAGAGAGGAGGGAGAGGCGGACATTCTACAGGCTGCAAAGACACAAGAGATAGTGAATGGGTAGCAACACCCGTCGCCTGCAACCTTCCAGGCAATTAAAAACGGCTTCCACTTCTCAATTTTATTTTCTTGCCAATAACAGAAGAGGTTGGCACTGAAAGCGCTCTGAGACAGACAGAGACAAAGAGGAGAGGCGCAAGTTTTCAGGGCCTCATTTCACCCATCTATCCATTCATCACCATCATCGTCATCCACGGCGGTAGCAGCAGCAGCAGCAGCAGCATCATGATTCCCCCAACGCTCTAAGTGAATCTGGCAATATTAAAGCTGCGAACAAAAAAAAAACAACAAAACAAAACAAAAAACGAGGTCCAGCAGCAGCAGCAGCAGACGTGCGCACTACTATCTCGCCGTGTTCTGGAGGTGGTAAAAGAGGATCATCCGATGCCTGCGAGACGCCGGATAATCGTGGCGAGACAGAAGCACCGCAGAGAGAGAAAACTACAATCGCGATTGATCCCTAAAAGCTCGATGTGCCGCACGCACGCGAAACACACCTAAAAGCAAAAAAAAAAAAACCCTAAAAAAAACAAACAAAAAAACCCCCAAACCAACAAGTGAGTATAAACCGTGTCTGTTTGTGTTGTTGTCCCAGCGTACGTCCCCTGTCTGTCTGTCTGTTTGTTTGTCTGCTGCTTTTTTTCCTCTTCATTGAAAATGACGATAGGGCAAGCTCGTGTTATGAAACGGGAAATAATGATGATTGTTACTGGTAGTTTGCATTCAACAAGTCTCAAACACCGTAAGGGTTTTTTTTACCTCTCTCTTTATCCAGCTCCCTTCTTGTGGCTGCGCTTGAAAACGATTTAAATATGTCACTCACTCACTCACATGGAACTATTTTTATTTTTCTGGTTATAACGGGAGGAGAAATAATAATAATAATAAAAAAAAGGACACATTTTGCATAACCTTGCCAAAAAAAGGGGTGTTTCCATGTACAACGCAGTGTTATGTCTCAGATAGGTGCACGTCTGTGTCTTTGCATCACGTCTGCGATATTTTTTTGTGTATTGATTTTTTTTGTGTGTGTGTGTTTCGCTCGCGAGTATATTCACACGCCTGAAAAAGAGAGGGAGTGAAAGATAGAGAGAGAGGAAGCGGAAGATAGAGGATGCTCAAAATTAGGTTTGTAGTAGCCGATATTTCACGAATACTATCTAATGCTATAGCTAACAATATGATGTTTATAGCATCGATGCGGAAGGGGTTTGTAGTCCTTTTTTTTTTTTTTTTGGCGAATTGATAGGTATGGCCAAGGCCCGAAATGGATGTTTGATAAAGGAACCACAGGGGTGTCAAACTCTTTTTGGTTCAGGGGGCCATAAACAACCTGACCAGTCCGATCATCAACCACAGGGGTGTCAAACTCTTTTTGGGTCAGGGGGCCATAAACAACCTGACCAATGTCCGATCATAACATAATTACCCAGAAATACCAATAACTCCATCTTTTTTCCCCCCATTTGTTCTCATGCAAATAAGTACAAGTATATTGGAAAACATATATATAATGATATGAACATGAAGTGTTTGTGCATTTCTTTTCCACTTTCGTTCATCAAGTGGGCTGTCTTAAACCCCCCCCCCGCCCCCCAGCTGGCTGGTTTGGGCCTGTGGGCCATATGTTTGGTCTAGACGGTGAAACCTTTGCACCTTTACTTGAGTTTCACAACAAGCCTCATTAGCCGTCGGTAAATCTGGAGTTACGACTAGTTCAGGCTAGTGGGCAAACTGAGGCCTGGGTGCTGCATGTGGCCCGTTCAGCTTTGGAATGCGGCCCACCAGACGTGTCCAAATGATATAGTTGAATTGTATTGTGATTATATTTCTGACCTTTTCCCTGCCCTGCCCTGCCCACGTTTTCCCTATAGATGGCGTAGAGAAGGCTAAAAGCATTTTTAGCATTTTAGCCTTTTATGCATGACTTTTACATGTAATTTATCTTAGTTTCACCCTGTGAAATTTTAGGACCATTTGTGGCCTGCGAGTCAAAAAGTTGGCCCACGCCTGGACTAGTTTCACATTAAGGAATAACCTGTGCAACATGTCTTTAGATCAGGCAAAAGACGAAAGGGCAACGTGAGGAGCCCCCCCCCCCCCCTCCCCCCCGATTTTCAAAAAAAAAAAAAAAAAAAAAAAAATCATACTCAGTTTGTAATGTGATCTGCACTGTCTGATTTAGGATAAGAAAAAAAAAATACCCTTACCACAACTCAGCTGTGATTGGACTCACAATTTGTTGACATGCTAAAAATATATTGCCTATATTGCCTATATTGCCTATATATCTGCTCATTCTTCTTTCATGGAGTTTGCCTATGTGTGTGTGTGTTTGAGTATGCGTGAGTGTGTCTGCGTGCGCGTGTGATGGAGGTTACGCGAATCAGCCATATACATGTACATATATATATACATATATGTGTGTGTATATATGTATTTATGTACATACTGTATCTATGTGGCCCATGTGGGACTGGCCAACTGTCCAGGATGTATCCCATCCTCAGCCTGTGGGGGTGGGGGGGCGGGGGGGCTTGCCTTAGGGGTAAAGAATGAATTGATTTCGTTTTCCCGTTTCTGTTATTCACTTATACAACGATTAAATCAACAATATATTAATCCTTCGATAAACAAATGGACAAATGACACCGGCAGTGCTTCTTGTCTGGTCCCGGGAGTCACATCACTGCACTGGTTAATCAAAAAATGAGTCTACTGATGTCTCTGGGTAGTGTTTGTCGTTATCCACAGCCGTCAGGGTTATAGTAAACACCGAACCGAGTCATTCGGTTTAGTGTTAATACTGAGTCTACTTGACAGACACACTTGCTTTGAAAGTGAAATGGAAAAAAAACGAAATGAAGAAAAATATCTATTTATAAAGTCGAAAGGCGACTTTATAGGATGCCTGTATAGGATCGCGTCTCAAAGAAGTAACGAGAGCCAATGGTAGTTTGAACAAGGTTGTTGGGGTCAGTGGTGCTGTATGGGGGAAACGGGGTCCTGCTTTGGTGAGGTTATAAGCAGAGGTCACATTTTGGTGGTGTGCTACGTCACGATGACAAAATCTTTCACTTTCACCTTCACATGTGAGCCCATTGTAACATTCACATGGGGCCCAGAATTCCTAGCAGCGCCTACTTATGGTAATAGCTAACTAGCTGACCAACCAGGCTGTTATTGCAGTATATGTTGCCAAGTACAGTGGTGCTGTACATGCAGGGGTTCTGCCGCTGATTGTTTATGAATTTACAGGCTGGTAATTGGACGGCTTTTGGGTCTGAAGATGATACGTTCTTGCTTTTAATCTGCCTTTCTTCTTAGTGTTCATACACTGCTGGGCTACTATTTTTCCCCGACCGTGCTCTCTTCGTTATTGTGACTCAATATGCGATCGCATCTTGTGCGACATCTTTTTTTTTCTTCGACTTTTGAAGGTCACTTCATGAGCGGCGATAGTAATAGTTTGTGTTGATGGGTGTACTGTGACACCTGGCTGGGAACGGGGGGTCGACCCTCGTCCTCCTCGTGCTGTGCTGCAGTGAATCGCTTTATCCTGTTGGTGTCTCCTCGACACTGGAAAGAGATAGGGGTGAAAAAAAGCTGGAGATGAGAAGAGGGAGAGGGAGAGGGGAGAGAGGAGAGGGGAAAAATGAATAAAAGAGGGAAGCAGATGTGAAAAAAAAATACACAGACAAAAGAGTAGGAAGGGAGGATTTTGGAGGGGGAGTCACGCTGCACGCGTGGTACAGTTTGAAGCGTTGTTGGTTACGTCCTTTGATGAAGCGGTAGCAGGTGGGAACGGTAGCAGACCAAAATGACATGTGTGTGATTTGCTCTCTCTCTCTCTCTCTCTCTCTCTCTCTCCTGCATTACGGTTTATTTGAAACCAGGCTCTGTTGTATCATTGTGTTCAGTTATGGTCATTTTTTTCGCCCCTCTTCTGCCTTTAATTTTTAATTTGCCCCCTCCCCCACACGCACACTTCCACCTTCAGAGCCATTTAAATGCACTTCTCACATACCCCCCCCCCGCTCCCGGTTACTCGCTCTTTCTGTCCTGTCTTGTTTTCCCCCCCTCATAGCTACATCCCCTGTTGTGAATCTCTCTTTTTTTTTCATTCTCATTTTTCTGTTTCTGCAGTCAGCTCTTCCCAAATCCTCCCTTGTTTTTCCATCCCTCGATTGCTCTTCTCTCTGCTGCTTTCTCCCCCTTTTCCCCTGCTCACCCACTGCTACCACTGCTGGTATCTTAGTCAATATATCCCATATTCCTATAGTCCCTCCCCCTTCTTACTGCAGTGTTTTTGCTAATATATATTAGTGTCAGTGCAGCTTATGTGCATGAGCCGAGTGCACTCCCTCGCTCTCTCTCTCTCTCTCTCTCTCTTCTGTCCGCCCCTGTCTCTCCTTCCATGTTATCTTTTCTTTTTTTTTTTCTGGATTAATGTCGCAGTCATATAACATGTGTTTATGTGTTGTCTCCCCGCTGACTGTCTCTGTTTATCTCTCTCTCTCTTTTTCCTCCCCGGTCTTTACCTCTCTCTCTCGCTGCCCCCCCTTCCATCTCTCCTCCTGCTCTCGGAATACTCGACCCCTATTCAATGGTCCTGGTGGCCAAAGGGAATTCTGCAGAGGACAGGAATGGTTGTTGTGATAGCGGTGTTGGATGCTAAAATGTTTAAAAAGTGAAAGTGGTTAAAGATCTGATTTGCCCACAGTTGTCGTGATGTTACTGCATTCTCTGCTTTCATTCGACCTCTGTGCTTCATTGTTTAATGAATACTATCTATATAGACTCTAACCCCGCGATGGGCAAACTAAGGCCTGGGGGGCCCCCGAATGCGGCCTGTTCAGCTTTTAATCCAGCCCGCCAAACTTTTCCAAATTATATAATTTATTTCTATCGTTATACTTCTGCCTTTTCCCTGCAATTCCCCCAATAGATGGCACAGAAAACGATTAACATTTTAGCCGTTATGCATGACTTTTACGTCATTTATCTTAGTCCACCACATGCTCCATGACCTACCTGACCTGACAACTGTGGCCAGCTGGTCAAAAAAAGTGCCCAAGCCCCGATCTAACCCTTACACACTTTTGCTGTGCTTTGCCAACCTTTACTTTACTCCCTTAGTTGACCTACCTGACCTGACAACTGTGGCCAACTGGTCAAAACCTTTTGCCAACCTTTACTTACTCCCTTAGTTAGAACTTTGCTCACAATTTGAACCTGAACGGCCACCGATGCCCCACACTCAACTTGCTTACGCACAGCATTTAGTTTAAAGTTGAACGCTGGAATGTTTCTGGAAATTATAAAAAAAATCAATCAAGAACAAGGGATTCATGTATAAACTCTATTTGGGTTACAATTCTGAGGCCAAACAGAGTCATGTCAGACACAAACGTCTTACCGAAGCTGCTTTGGAAAACTTCAGAGAACGGGGGATATTTGGGTTACAATTCTGAGGCCAAACTGCTTTTGAAAACTTCAGAGAAGGGGGAAATGAATGTACCGCTGTCCGTGGTGCTGAAATATCAACCCCGAAGAGGTGCCTGCTGCAAAAGCAAAACGGGACAAAGCTGAATCTGGATCAGTTTACACCTCCTTCCCAAATCTACATTTGCGGATAAAGGTGCTTTTGAGGATGATTGTTTCTCATAAACTCAATATTTTATACGCACTTTTATGTGCAGAGTTGCAATCTCACTCAAATCTGGAAGTCACTGTGACATTTTTTTTAAAGTGATGACATGGAACACTTAAACAGTACATTATCAAACATATATGAATGTATATACATACACATATATTTTCTAAATATATTTTTAAGTTGTGTCAATTCATTTTTTTCCCCACTGTGATTAGTACTGTTTGTGTCTTTATTCTTTTACCCATGCAGTATCCTCGGTCTTTATGATTCTTACCTGAGTGTGGCTTTTCTTTATCCGGGGGTCCTCAACTTAACAAAAAAAGTGAAGAAAACAAAAATAAAACTTCTAACTTCATGTTAAGTGCATTATACTATCATACTTCTTCATCGACATGCAAACAAATAATATAACATAGAGAAGAAGAAGAAAAAAAATACTGCAGTGCCCACGGTGCAGGGAAAAGGAGATGGAGAGAGGAGAGGGAAAAAGCTGACTCACAGTGAAAGAATTTGACCCTGGGACAAAGGAAAAGAAAGAGGGAAAAGAGTCTGATAATAGGTGAGGTGATGAAGGAGAGAAAGATGAAGGGCAGTAGGAGCAGAAAATGAGAAAAAAAAAAGAACAAGTAAAGAGAGATGAGGGGTACTGGATCAGAAAAAGGCCCCATCCTCCTCTTCAGGGAAGAAGGAGAAAGGGTAGGAAGAGAAAGACAAGAAAAACTTGATCCCCCTTCAATGAAATGTGACTCCTTTATGAGGAATCTGAGAAAGAGGGAGGAAGAGAAAGTGGGGGAGAGAGAGAGAGAGAGAGAGAGAGATACTAGCAGGGGGAAGGAGGAAGGACATGAAAGGAAGAGAGAGAAGTCCTGTGTGTGTGTGTGTTTTTTTTTTTTTTTAGTATGAATAGTGAATAGTGAAGAAAGGTTAAGAACATAGAGATGACATGTGCATTGGCTGGTGTTTTGATGTTGATGCAACACGCAGGAAGCAGGAAGAGGAAAAAGAGACCGAGGGCAACAAATTACAATTTACTGCAGGGGAATTCACGACTTGGTGTTCTCCTCTTCCTCGCCTTCTTGTCTCCTTCATCTTCTCCATCTATCTATATATATATATACACACACACACACACACACCAGCTCCTCTTCTTGCCCCTTCTGCCACACTGGCTCAGCGACAATATTGCACAAGCTTTGCCGCATTACCTCTCCCGTCTCTTTTAAAAATAGTCCGAATGTCCATCTCATTAACACATCATGCTCTCGCAAGCGCAAAAGGTCGTCGTCATCCGATTCCCTCGCAAAAATCGATCTTGTGGAAGTCGAAACATCTCTTAGACAATGTCAAACAGGGCGATATATATATATATATATTTTTTTAAAAGCACGTTTACTACCAGCTCATCTTCGTCGGTGGAGCTGTGTGTCAAGGATGCGGAGTTATGGCGCGTAAAAAAAATACGCGCCATTACTGACTGAAGTTTAAGACGAAGAGGTTGTTGTTTAAAACGCATTACATTTCACGCCTTTAAAAGCTAATATATATATATATATATATGTCTCCCTTCTGCACAAGTGCGGCCAATGTGACTTCATTCTTTATTTGTAATGTTGAGCATACACTCTTTTTCTCTGTTTTACTAATTTATTATCTCTTTTTATCCTTATCTCTCCTCGCAGACTCCTCCCTCCAGTCTCTCGTCTTCTCTCTCCCTCCCCCTGGTCCTCTATGCTCAGTTCGGTGTGTGTATCCTCTTTTAAAGGGCGCAAGGGTGGGAACAAGTCGTCCAACAAAGCATGTTACAGCGCAGACATGACTTGTCCGTCGGAAAGCGAAAAAATTGTGATAAACTGTGGCGGGGTGCGGCACGAGACCTACCGGAGCACGCTTAAGACGCTGCCCGGTACGCGTCTGTCATGGCTAACCGAACCGGACGCATTTAGCAACTTCGACTACGACCCCAAATTGGACGAATTCTTTTTCGACCGCCACCCGTCTGTGTTCTCCTTCATTCTCAACTACTACCGCACCGGCAAGCTGCATTGCCCAAACGACGTGTGCGGACCCCTGTTCGAGGAGGAGCTCGCATTCTGGGGTATTGACGAGACAGATGTCGAGGCGTGCTGTTGGATGAACTATCGGCAACACCGGGACGCCGAGGAGGCGCTGGATAGCTTCGAGACCCCGGAGCCGGACGCACCTGATGATGACCCGGCGCTGGGTGGTGCGGACGGGGACTTGAAGAGACTGTGCATGCAAGAGGACACGAGGAAGTCGGGTTGGTGGAAAACCTGGCAGCCTAAGATTTGGGCGCTCTTTGAGGACCCGTATTCATCCAAATACGCGCGGGTGAGTGAACAATATGTTGTGTTTGTTCTGATAAAAGGATATATATATATATATATTATCAGAACAATTGTGTGTGTGTATATATATATATATACACACACACACACATATATATATACACACACATATATATGTATATATATGTATGTATGTATATATATATGTATATGTATGTATGTAAAAATTTCTTTTGTCCACAAAGCATACATGTTGTCTCTGCCATTATGTTTGAATTGGAATATGAACATAAGCAGAAATCCTATGCATTCCTGTTTGAAAATGTAACTAAATGTTGGCTAATTATCTTTGCTTAGTATTTTCACTTGATTAATTGCATCGCACCGCTATGTTTTAGAGGCAAAACATTACGATATATATATAGAAACAGTTCTGCGTGTGTCACATGCATACCTGTGACATTGAATAATTCATTCTTCATACCATATAGAATATGGAAAAGCCTAGACCAGTTGGTCGACTGTGTTTGAGGCTGACTGACCCACAGATATCCCTTAAAAAAATACTCCTGTCGCAGTTGAACCCTAAGTTACATGTGCTTTTTTTTGTTTCCACGTTTGCCCTTGATACTAAACGTTTTCCGCAGTGGACCTATTTTCCCCTTTCCCCTTGTTTGATGCAGCCACCAGGCTTTTTACCCCAGGGTTTCATTGCCGTTGAGAGACTCATTCCAATCTTGCTGTAACTTACTCGTTTTCGTGTGAACTGTTAAAAGTGATGTTTGATCACACAGGTTTATGAGCAACAAGTACCTCCGGCTGTGTTTTCCATCCCTCCCACATGAAACAATCACAGCTGCCTTGCTTTTTGCTCTCGTACCTTTCAATTATAGCTGCATGTTCACCTCCGCTTTGATTTGTGTTGTTGGTATGTTTACATTAACACTCTGATCTTTGCACCCGCCAATGTTTTTGGGTGTCTCAAGGATAGTAAACGGATTGAAATACAAACCTGCGTTAGTCCTTGCACACTAACGGCCTCAATCTTTAACCAGTGTGGGTCCAAGTATTCGTCCACATACCAATACTTCAGGCTATGATGGACAGATAGTCTGCTTGATTGGGTCACTCAAACTGTAACGCCAGACTGTTACAGGCTAATAGATTGATTTCTCACCTCCGTTCTTCACCTTCACTGACTGCTAGCAGAATGCAATAAAGAGCGACTCATTTCTTTTTGTAATAGTCTAAATATTGCACAAGAGGCAGAAAGTGTCATTAAAAAAGTGGCTGTTGAGTTGATGTTGAATTCTGAATAACTTGGAGAGAAGAAGCAGCAGCATTTAGCGCACTACATCACACCTTGTAGATAGATAGATAGATCGATCGATCGATCTATCTATCTATCCATCTATCTATCTATCTCTCTGTCTGTCTGTCTGTCTGTCTATCTATCGATCTATCTATCTATCCATCTATCTATCTATCTATCTGGCTGTCTCTCTGTCTATCTATCTCTCTGTCTATCTATCTGTCTGTCTGTCTATCTATCTCTCTGTCTGTCTGTCTATCTGTCTGTCTGTCTATCGATCGATCTATCTACCTAACTATCTGTCTATCTGTCTTTCTATCTATTTATCTATCTATCTCTCTGTCTGTCTGTCTGTCTCTCTATCGATCTCGCTGTCTATCCATCTATCTATCTATCTCTCTGTCTGTCTGTCTATCTATCTGTCTGTCTGTCTATCGATCGATCGATCGATAGATAGAGAGACAGACAGATAGACAGATAGTTAGGTAGATAGATCGATCGATCGATCGATAGATAGAGAGACAGACAGACAGACAGATGATAGATATGTGTATTATGTAATGATAATAGTTTCAACACCGTAAAATAACTATCAGTAGTGTTTGTAATGCAAGTTAAACATTTTTTTGAGTACATTGTTGGGTTCATTTTAGCGGCTACAACAACTACATGCCCTGCAGTTCACTGGGATGTTACCAAGATTTTTTTTTTTCATTATCAATCTTTTTAGTCTCATTTAAATCTAAATGTATCTTCTTCAAGTAGCAAATGGATGTGGTGGGGCTGCTTATATTTGAGTATGTGGTAGAAGTAAAAAAAAAAGTGAAAAGAAAAAAAAACCTAAAGTGAGGAATGGTAAAATGTATTTTGGGGTGACTTTTGCAGAAATGTCTGTTATGTAATGCATCAGCAGTTTGGAGGTGACAGGCGTGCAAGTGTCTCCTTCGTCGTAAAATAGCAGCACACGCTGGTGTTGGTCTGTTGCGTTAGCTTTTCACTGCAGTAGACACAGGAGAGGAGGATTGAATGAGATCACAGGAGGAAGATAGAAAAAAATGAAAATGGGAAAGGTTAGTGAAAATCATAGGCAAATGTGGGGAAATAAGAAAATGGCGAATAAGTTGGGGAATAAAGGGCCAAGTGGGAGTAATGAGTGTCTCTGAAGGTCATACGGTGAAGGGAACGAGAGGGACTGAGAAAGAGCGATAGAGAGAATCAGACTAGAAATGAAAAAAGGAAAGAGATTTTGATTGGTTTTTTTTTTTCAACACATCTTTTATTTAGTCTGTGTGAATCACTGTCACTTTACATCAGTAAACTTAAATAATAAAAAATTGTAATTAAAAAAAAACAAAACATTTTAAAATAAATCAGACCAGCTAATCTGAGAGCAGGAGTTCGTTCTCCTGAATGGAGCACAGCGTACCACCATAAGTCCATATCAGTTTAAATTGTCCTGGATCCTGAATTGCTCTGTAATAGTTAAAGTCAGACAGGATCATCCTGCTCAGAAACTGTACAACGTCAGAGTCCGCATTATCTTCTGCCATCACCTTCTAATTCAATTGCCATTTATGTAAAGATTGTAAAGATGATTCTGTAATTTTCTATCTATCTATCTATCTAAATCAGGCATGGGCAAACTAAGAGACAGACAGACAGACAGACAGATAGACCGATAGACAGATAGATAGATAGATAGATAGATAGATAGATAGATAGATAGATAGATAGATAGATAGATCGATCGATCGATCGATCGACAGACAGACAGACAGACAGATGATAGATATGTGTATTATGTAATGATAATAGTTTCAACACCGTAAAATAACTATCAGTAGTGTTTGTAATGCAAGTTAAACATTTTTTTGAGTACATTGTTGGGTTCATTTTAGCGGCTACAACAACTACATGCCCTGCAGTTCACTGGGATGTTACCAAGATTTTTTTTTTTCATTATCAATCTTTTTAGTCTCATTTAAATCTAAATGTATCTTCTTCAAGTAGCAAATGGATGTGGTGGGGCTGCTTATATTTGAGTATGTGGTAGAAGTAAAAAAAAAAGTGAAAAGAAAAAAAAACCTAAAGTGAGGAATGGTAAAATGTATTTTGGGGTGACTTTTGCAGAAATGTCTGTTATGTAATGCATCAGCAGTTTGGAGGTGACAGGCGTGCAAGTGTCTCCTTCGTCGTAAAATAGCAGCACACGCTGGTGTTGGTCTGTTGCGTTAGCTTTTCACTGCAGTAGACACAGGAGAGGAGGATTGAATGAGATCACAGGAGGAAGATAGAAAAAAATGAAAATGGGAAAGGTTAGTGAAAATCATAGGCAAATGTGGGGAAATAAGAAAATGGCGAATAAGTTGGGGAATAAAGGGCCAAGTGGGAGTAATGAGTGTCTCTGAAGGTCATACGGTGAAGGGAACGAGAGGGACTGAGAAAGAGCGATAGAGAGAATCAGACTAGAAATGAAAAAAGGAAAGAGATTTTGATTGTTTTTTTTTTTTCCCCAACACATCTTTTATTTAGTCTGTGTGAATCACTGTCACTTTACATCAGTAAACTTAAATAATAAAAAATTGTAATTAAAAAAAAACAAAACATTTTAAAATAAATCAGACCAGCTAATCTGAGAGCAGGAGTTCGTTCTCCTGAATGGAGCACAGCGTACCACCATAAGTCCATATCAGTTTAAATTGTCCTGGATCCTGAATTGCTCTGTAATAGTTAAAGTCAGACAGGATCATCCTGCTCAGAAACTGTACAACGTCAGAGTCCGCATTATCTTCTGCCATCACCTTCTAATTCACGTAAATTGCCATTTATGTAAAGATTGTAAAGATGATTCTGTAATTTTCTATCTATCTATCTATCTATCTAAATCAGGCATGGGCAAACTAAGCCCCGGGGGGCCTGATTCGACCCATTCAGCTTTTTCAAATGATATCATTTATTTATATTATCATTATACTTTTGCTCTTTTCCCTGCAATACCCACGTTTCTCCAATGTGTGATGTAGAAAATAATAAAAGCATTCAATTAAAGACTCCTGTTGGCTGAGGAGAGCAGCAATGACAGCTAAATAAAAACAATGCAACGCACCCTCATACTGGACGCGTGTTACAAGGACAGACGAGGCCCCCTTTTTTATTAACGCTCTACTTATTAATCTTTCCTAACTAAAAAAAGGTCATAATCTGCTGAACTACCGTTTGGCATCTCGTACCCATTCAGGACCTGCATCCCAAGATTTATCCCCACAATCGGAAGCCCTAATGCAGGGGTGTCAAACTCATTTCCACCAGGGGGCCACATCAGCAATACAATTCCCCTTAAAGGGCCAGTTGTAAATGGAAGACTGTATCGATCATGTATAGAATATATAGAGTTTAGTGAATGCTTTTTAAGCTCCCGTGGGCCACACAAAACAGCCTGGCGGGTCACATTTGGCCCCCGGGCCTTGAGTTTGACACATATGTTGTAAGGTGTTTACTTTGCACTTTAAGGTGCCTTTTGGGAAATACATGCGTATAATCATAATAATATTAATAAAGCAATAAAGTATCAGAAAAGTATCGGTATCGGCTGATATCCAAGTCCAGGTATCGGATTCGGATCGGAAGTGGAAAAAATGTGGATCAGTGCATCCCTAGTTAGTGGTATTGTATGAAGAGACGGTTACACCGCTCCGAATTTCTGTTAGAATAACAGACCCGCCGGCAGGAAT